GCTCCTGTCACCACCCCCCCCCCGCAGACAAGCACTCAGAAGCAGTCCTGACTCTGGCTCTCCCTCAGGGTCACTCACCGTAGGACTGACACACCACGTGCACCAGCGGGTAAGACTTCCAGAGCACACGGTCACACCAGGAGGGCAGGTTGTACTTCATCTGCAAATAAAAGTCATGGCTTTCTACAGTGCCTGCTACTTTAAAAAAGAGAGAAAGAGAGAGAAAGAATAAATAAATGGCACTGGTAGCTCATGCTATAATCCTTGCTACTCAGGAGGCTGAGATCTGAGGAGTGCAATCAGAAGCCAGCCAGGGCAGGAAAGTCCTGAGAGACTCATATCAAATTAACTACCAAAAAGCCAGAAGTGGAGCTGTGGCTCAAGTGGCTAGCCTTCAGGGACAGTGCCCAGGGCCCAAGTTCAAGCCACAGTATTGGCATTAAAACAAAAAGGAAAAGATCAATTCACTTTGCTGTGTTCTGCACCAGGCTTCCCCACTGCTCAGTGTCTTGTCTATCTATCTTCTCTTTCTTTCTTTTTTTTGCTTTGTATCGGTATTGGGACTTGAACTCAGGGCCTGGGTGCTGTCCCTGAGCTTTTCTTCTCAAGGCTAATGCTCTACCACTTGAACTATAGCTCTACTTCAGGCTTTTTGGTAGTTAGTTGGAGAAAGAGTGACTTTCCTGCTCAGGCTGGCGTCAGACTCCACCCTTGACATCCTTAGATCTCAGCTTTCTCAGTCGTTATAGTGTGAGCCACCAGTGCCCAACTTTTCTCCTCTTTTCTCTTTTCCTGTCTTCTCCTCTCCACTCCTGTTAATTGCCCTTCCCTTCTCTCCTCTCCCCTTCCTCCCATTCTGTGTATGTGTGTGTGTGTGTAAGTATTGGAGCTTGAATTTAGGGCCATCTCAACCAATGAAAGCTGGGCATGATGCTGTTATCACATCTACACGAGAAGCATAAATAGTAGGATCATGGTTTGGGCTAGCATAACACATTAAGAAACCATTAGAAAACCAAGCACCAGAGGTTCATGTCTATAATCCTAGCTACTCAGGAAGCAGAGTTCTGAGGATCACCTTTTGAAACCAGCCCGGGCAGACAAGTCCATGGCACTCTTTCCTCTAATCAGCAAAAAAGCCAGAAGTGGAAGTATGGCTCAAATGAGCCACAGAAACAGCCTTGAGAGAGAGAGAGGAAAAAAAGCTAAGCAAGAGCACAAGGACTAGTGTGTAAGCCACAGTACCAGCACAGACGAAACAAAACAGAAAAAAGATAATCCAGAAATAGAGGCACTGAAAAGTAAATATTGTGTGTGTGTGTGTGTATGAGAGAGTTATGGTGTGTGTGTGTGTGCACACACAGGTGCGTGTGCATGTGTGTCCTAGCTTGAACTCAGGACTGATCCTGAGATTTTTGGCTCAAGGCTAGTGCTCTACCACTTGAGCCACAGTTCCACTTTCAGCTGCTTTTGGTGGCTAATTGGAGATAAGAATCTCATAGACTTTTCTGCCTGGGCTGTCTTCAAACCACAATCCTCAAATCTTGGCCTCCTGAGTAGCTAAGATTATAGGTATGAGCCACTGGTACCTGGCTTAGAAAACATTATTGAACAAATTTGTTAAATAAAGTGATTAGATTTTTTTTTTGATGGGTACTCTTATGTTTATAAGCAGGAAAGGAAGAACCTAAGGGAGTGAGGATATTAATTATGGAATGCTCTCTCCCAAATCTGAAAATCTAGCTGGACATTTTTGCTTTTTTGTGTGTTTTGGGTTTCAACTGCCTTCTGGGAAGTAAATAGTAAGGGTCATTATTAGCTTAGTTCTTTGCAAAACCTGGGCAACCAGGTTTTGTGTGTGACACAAGTCAACGTGCTATTATTACTATTTAATTTAAAATTCTCTTAATTTTTTTTCTGGTTCCAAGATTTGAACTCAGGGGCTCATACTTGTTTGGCTAACACTCTACTACTTGAGCTATGTCTTCAGCCTGACTTTTTTGCTGGTCATTACTGACATAGAATCTTCTGTTCAGATTGACTTCAAACTGCAATCCTCCAGATCTCAGCCTCTCTAATAACTAGCATTACAGGCATGAGCCACTGTGCCTGGCTTCAACTTGTGATTTTTAAGTGCTATTCTTTCTGTTTTGTTGCTGTTGTGATGGAGGATGCTTTCTTCTCTGGTCTTTTTTTTTTTTTCCTTTAGTCATGGGGCTTGAACTCTGGGCTTGTGCACTGTCCCTCAGCTCTTCAGCTCAAGGAGAGCGCCCTACCACGTGAGCCACAGCGCCACTTCCAGTTTTCTGGTAGTTCATTGGAAATAAGAATCTCATGGCCTTTCCTTGCCCGGGCTGGCTTTGAACTGCAATCCTCCCGAGTAGCTAGGATTACAGGTATGAGCCACTGGCGCCCGGCTATTCTCTGGAATTTTTTGAACAGACTCCCCAGGTGTGAGATGGCAAAGGAGGTAAGGCCCGGATGCGGAGTGCTGGCTCTGGGACTCACCCCTGTGGCTTTCTGCTTTGTGTAGGCGTATTTGTCCCGAGTTAGCCTTTCAAATCGGTAGGTGGGCGCAAATGTGATCTCTTCCTCTTCTGAAAAAGACACACCTGGGTTCTAGGTTTGATTCCCAGACATCCACCCTCTCCTGAAGACCATCTTTACCCCAGAAGGACATCTGGGAGGCAGCAAGATGGCTGGAAAGGGCTCAAGGAGAGGCTGTGTTCTCACCAAAGTGCAGGAAAACCTTCTGCTCCCTTCGCTCTGTAAGCAGCTGGTCATGGGCCAGCAGATCCGCAAACTGCTGCTGCTTGATCTTCTGGATGATGGCTTCTGCCTCCTGGAATGAGGACAGGCACAGTGGGGCTCTTCCTCCCTTTCTTCCTCCCCAGTGGGGCCCGGATCTCTGCTGTAGCTCAGCCCTGGTCCCACCCAGGGCTGCTTCCTTGTGCTCAACCACTTCCCAAAGAAACCAGGAGAGCCGGGCACTGGTGGCTTACAACTGTAATCCCAGCTACTCAGAAAACTGAGGATCTCAGTTCCAAGCCAGTCGGGGCAAGAAAGTCCATGAGACCCTTTATCTCCAATTAAACAGCAAGAAGGCGGAAGTAGAGCTGTGGCTCAAGTGGTAGAGCACCGGCCTTAAGGGAAAAAACCAGGCATAATTGCAAGGCCTTGAGTTCAAGCTCCAGTATGGCAGATGCGTACATATATACACCCCCCAAACAACTCCCCCCCCAAAAAAAATCTCCAGAGAGCACTATAGTTATTAATCTAATATTTTAGGGTTGGTCCAAATTTGCATGTGGACCTGTTAGTTTTTCATACTGACTCTCTAGTATGGATTTTCTTTTATTTTTTTTTTTGCCATTTGTGGGGCTTGAACTTGGCCTGGATGCTGTCCCTCAGCTCTTTTGCTCAAGGCTCGTGCTCTACCATTTTGAGCCACAGCTCCACTTCCAGTTTTGGGTTGGTTAATTGGATCTAAGTCTCATGGATTTATAGCCTGGGCTGGCTTTGAACTGCAATCCTCAGATCTCAGCCGCCTGAGTATCCAGGATTACAGGTATGAGCCACCAGTGCCCGGCTATGTGAGGACAGGTGGGCTGCCTGTGTGGCTACACTGGAATGGAGGCCCCATCCCAAATCTCCTTCATCCTGGCTGTTCTGCCCAGACTATCGGATGTTGTAGTCAGGGAGTCCTCTCTCCTGCCGCTTCTGTGACCTCAAACGAGGCTCTGAGACTCCGCATTGGTGAGTGAGTGGCTGTGCTGGTCCTCCCCTGGGGAGCCAGAAGCACCCTTCCCACCCGTCTGTGGAAGAAGGCATGGCTGGGCATCAGCCAGGGCTGCTCCAGAGAGCTGTGAGGATAACCAGAGGAACAGAGGCGGCCGAGGGGTGTGGGTTAGGTGGGGAGATGGCTGGGGTGTAGGGGATGGTGCCCCTGGACACCCCCAGATCACCCGAGGAGGGGTGATGCCTTCGGTCAATGCCAAGTCTCTGGGCAGAAGCAAGCATGTGGGTTGTGGATGCTTCCTGTGGTCCCGCCTGCCCATCCGCCCTCAGGACCAGGAGTGGGCATCCAGCATGGAGTCTTTGACTCGATGGTGAGTCCACTCCCTTCTTACACCCGGCCTGGCTGGCTGAGATACCCAAGCAACAGTGTCTGGAGGACAGGCGTCCACCCCAGGCGCGTGGGAAGTGGACAGAAGCAGGAGCAAGCTTAACAAGAGGAAGCAGCCCAGAGAGCTGCTGCCTTGTCCCAGCTCCGTGTCCGTATGTCTCCATGGCTGTGTCCTGAGCAGACTCCCACCAAGTCTCAGTCCCTGACTGCCGCAGCCCCAGGCGACGCCTCTTACCCAGGTGGGCAGCTCCACGCGGTAGTTGAGGTCCCCAAGCCAGAAGAGGTGGGTGAAGCGGTGGGTGATGTTGAACGGACTCAGCTTTTTGTCTCCCAGGGCCAAGAACCGCAGGATGTTCATATAGTTCTGGTTTCGTCTAATTCAAGGGAAAAAGCAAGGTGTTGCTGGCACGCACCCCACCACAACAGGAAGCCCAAGGGGTCGTGTGGGGAGGGGAAACTGAGCTCTCTAGCCCCTCCCTAGTGACCACTTGAGTATGCCAGAGGGCAGGAAAGTGAGGCTTCTGAGAGACAGAGCCTGAGCAGCAATGGCCTAGCAGGGAACTGGAACCGGAAGTACCCTGATGGCTGACGTCATGACTGGGCTGGTGGTGTGGGCTTTGATCTGTGAGCAATCTCTAGGAGTTTGCTGGTGGGGTTGCCTGTGTTGAGAATATGGAAGTCCAGAAAGTTCCAGGCTAGGGCTGAAGGCATCAGGATGGGCAGGTAGAGAGGTAGGCAAGTTTACCTGGGCAAATGAATGTCTGCACGGGCTCTAGAAGAAATGAGCTCTATTACCTGAGTTTCTTTTCACTTCCGGAAGTCAGGTGGCTGTTAACAAACCCCAAGGAAGTGCCATTGAACATGAACGACACGCCCACGGCTCCCTTATTCCCTAAGGGAGGGAAGAGAAAGACGAATCAAAAAGACAAAACAAAACAGGCAAGGCCAGCATGGCATGGTAGCACAGGCCTGTAATCTGAGAACTGGAGAGACAAAGGGATCGAGAGGTCAAAGCCAGTCTGGGCTCCCTAAGAAGGCTCTGTCTCCATTATGAAGGGATAACAAAGCAAAGGAAAGTGAAAAATAGTCATGGTATTAATAAGAAGGAGAGAATTGAGCAGGGAAGGGAGAAGAAAGCAGTCACGTGGGGTGGGGCGACCTGCAGAGGGCCAGCAGCCTTGGACTTCTCCACAGGGCACAGGAAGGAAGATGCTGTCGCTCACTCTGGTCACCTCCCAGTAGAGGAGGGAAGGGGAGAGGTCAGTGGCCACTGTGCCAAGCAGACAGGGGACGGGGAGCATCAAGGAAGATTAGGGAGGAGGTACCCCTGGCTGGCTGGACGCCCTCCTACCTGGCTACCTCAGTGTTCCCAGTGAGACCATCGAAGACCCTCATTGAGATCATACCCTTTCTTCCCAGTATCTTGCTCTGTTCTAGAGCAAGTGTGTTCCTTGGTCCAGCAGCAGCTCCAGGGAAAGGTAAATACCAGACGACCAAACCAGAGATTGTGGGATCAAGAGTAGGTGCCTGGCAAACTCATGAAGGCAGGGGCGGGCAAATGCAGGCCACTGCCAACTCGAAGTGGGTTTTACATTTGTGTGTGTGTGTGTGTGTGTGTGTGTGTGTGTGTGCACGCCACTATTGAGACTCACAGGGTCTGGGTTCTGTCCTTACCTTTTTCACTCAAGGCTGAGGCATTACCTCTACTTCTGGCCTTTTGCTGGTTAATTGGGGATAAGAGTCTCTTGGATTTGTCTGCACAGGCTGCCTTTGCACCATGATTTCAGTTTCCAGAGTAGATGGGATTACAAGTGTGAGCCACTGGTGTCAGGCAGCTGTTACATTTTTAAATAGTTGGAGGAGAATCAAAAGAAAAGCAGTTTTAGCTGGGTGCTGGTAGCTCATGCCTATAATCCTAGACACTCAGGAGGCTGAGATCTGAGGATCACAGTTCAAAGCCAGCCTGAGCAGGAAAGGCCATGAAACTCTTATCTCCAATAAACCACCAGAAGACAGGAAGTGGCGCTGTGGCTCAAGTGGTAGAGTGCTTGCGTTGAGCTGAAGAGCTGAGGGACAGCGCTCAGGCCCAGAGTTCAAGCCCCACAACCGACAAAAATAGAAAAGCAGTCTTTCATAACGTAATAAAATGTAAAATTCTAGTTACTCAGGAGTCTGAGATCTGAGGATTGTGGGGCAGGAAAGCCCATGAAACTCTGACCTCCAACAACAGACTCAAAATACACACACAAAAGCTAGAAGTGGAGCTGTGGATCAAGTGGTAGAGTGCTAGCTCTGAGCAAAACTGCTCAGGGACAGTACTCAGGCCCTGAGTTCAAGCCCCAGGAACAGCACCAAAAAACAAATAAATAACACACACAGGACAAAAAGCCAGAAGGTGGATGCTGCTGGTGCCTCATGCCTATAATCCCAGCCACTTGGGAGGCTGAGCTGTGAGGATCACGGTTCTGAGCCAGTCTGGCAAAAAAGTCTGTGCTACCTGAGGAGGAATGGAGACCTGGACAGCACACCAGCAATGGTGACCAGAGGAGGGCTGGGATGCACTTCCAGCCCTCCCTTTCCTTTCCTGCCTTTTCTCCTCACAGGGCGGCTCTGGTGCTGCCTAACCTGGGCCTGAAGCGGGGTCCACCACTCATCCCCGGGCCTCAGGCAAGGCAGAGTATCGCCACAGCCCACTTCCACAGGTGCCTGGGGCAAACGACATAGGACCAATGGAACTTCAGCCACTCAGACTGGGCTAGGTCCACTCTCAGTGGACCTCGTGGTTCTTGGGGTATGGACTCGTGACCCTCCAAAGGTTGCAGAGCCTAGCCTCTGTGCAGGCCTCCTGAGAGGTCTCTAGACCTCCCCCTCAGCGGTGTCCTGTTTGCTCATAGGCTGTGGGTGAAATCCAGGCGAGCAGGGCTCTCGTTTTCCCCAAAACCAGCCTGGAGGCCATGCCATGGAGGTCACTGGAGGCGAGGCCTGGCTCAGGAGGTGAAGCAGAATTGTGCAATAGAAGGATTGAGCAAATGTGTGCAGTGGGGCGGGGGCTGCAGGGAGAGGCAGGAAGCCCAGGGAGGAATCAGCTGCAGACGAAGGGAAGTTCTGGGCTTACAGGCCATGCCAACGCCACCATTCCACTGCCACAGGAAGGAAGGAGGGCGAGCGGGTGTGGACACCCACTTTGAAGTTCGTCAGCAAAAAAGTAGAGAGCTTGTCCCATTCCATTGTAGCAGCTGGCTTCCTGTGGGCTCGGGGACCGGTCTTATCCTTAACACTAATGACCAGGAACCACTGGCCTGGCTGGGACTCCATCCATAGTGCTCCACACATGTTCAGTCCCTCCAATGCATACACACATGCACGTGTGTATGCACACACACACACACAGATGTGAGGCAGGGTCACACAGACTTACACAGACATAGACTTACAAGCACACACAGTGAAAGGGGGACAAGGGGAGGAGGAATGGAGAGGAAGAGGGATTGGGAGAGATGGGGAGAACAATGGAAAGGGTGGTGGTGATCAAGCTGCATTGTACTGGGCTGGGAAGGCTCAGTGGTAGAGTGCTTGCCTTGCATGCATGAAGCCCTAGGTTTGATTCCCCAGTACCACACAAGCAGAAAAAGCTGGAAGCGGTGCTGTGGCTCAAGTGGATACAGTGCTAGCCTTGAGCAAAAGAAGCTCAGGGGCAGTGCCAGGCTCTGAGTTCAATCCCCAGGACTAGCAAGGAAAAAAAAAAAAGGTGCATTGTACTCACACGCTGAGATGTTGAATCAAAACCCCTGTCTACAACTACTTAGAGATAATTAAAAATTTTTAAAGAATCCTAAATGTAAGATCCAGGTGAACTTAATCAAAATAGAACATATTTGTGCTTCAAAAAACACAACAACACACAAGCCTAGCTAATTTCCTCTGCAGGTTGTATTAATACACTGAAACATAGGCTGGGTCCCCTCCCCCAACTCACAGTCAACCACACTCCGACGAGTCTACTCATTCTTTTTCTGTGTGTGTATGTGTATGTGTGTGTGTGTGTTGTGTGTGTGTGTGTTGTGTGTGTGTGTTGTGTGTGTGTGTTGTGTGTGTGTGTTGTGTGTGTGTGTGTTGTATATGTGTGTTGATCCTGGGGCTTAGACTTAGGGCTTGGACACTGTCCCTGAGCTTTTTTGTTCAAGGCTAAAACTCTACCACTTGGGCCATAGCTCTACTTGTGGCTTTTTGGTGGCTAATTGGAGACGAGAGTCTCATTGGCTTCTCTGCCTGGGCTGGCCTGGAACCTTGATCCTCAGATCTCAGCCTCCTGAGCAGCTAGGATTATAGGCATGAACCACTGGCACCAGGCTCAGTCCACGCATTTCTACCTCCATTCTCGGAAGCAGCCTACTGCATCAGAGCTAGAATCAACATTTCCAATGTGGTCTACACCCAGCCCAGCATCTGACTCCTGTCCTAGGTTCTGGCTACTCAAATACTCAAAAGTGGGATCCCTAGACTGACCAACAGCAGTGCAGTCTCCTGGGAGTTTGCAGGACAAGGAGTCTTGGGCTCCACCTGAAACCTAATGAGTCACAGGCAGGCAGGCAGGCAGGCAGGCAGACAGACAGACAGACAGACAGACAGACAGACAGACAGACAGACAGACAGACAGACACACACCAGGAGAAAGGTGAAGCAGAGCATGTTGGGAGAACACGCTCCCTCCCACTCACCCAGGGTGTTGGCGATGCCTGTCTTCACGTTGTCCGTGCAGATGTGGCTGATGCGGTTCTCATGCTCTGGCTTGGCTAGCACCACGATGCGGATGTTCCAGAGTGTGTGGATGGCCATCTGGCAGAGAGGAACATGTGACACTGAGTTGGAGTGCTTGAGGCCAGAGCACAACCCCAGCCCTCTGGGATGAGGAGCCCTGTCTGTTGTTGCTGGCCTTCGAGGGACTTCTAATGATGCCCAGACACGGGACGAGGCATCTCAGAGGTGAGAGGCCTGGGCTACTGCGACTTCCATTATCTACAACAAGCCAGAGTGGGGAAGGGAGGGGGGATTTTTGGCAACAGCCCTTGGATCTAGATGCATCTTTCTGGTTTTTGAAGCTGGGGACCACAGATATCTGTTTAATTTTTTTTTTTTTTATTGGCCTTGAACTCAGGGCCTTGTCCTCTTCTTGCTTGGCTGTTTTTGCTCAAGGCACTCTACTGCTTGAGTCACAGCTCTACTTCTGGCTTTTTGGTGGTTAACCAGAGATCAAGGTCTCTCAGGCTTTCCTGCCTGAGCTGGCTTTGAACCTCAATCCTCAGATCTCAGCCTCCTGAGAGGCTAGGAGTAATCGGAGTGAGCACCGGCACCCAGCTAGCCCCACGAGGTGGAGAGACGATAGGCCGAATGTGCCCTGGCCTCTGAGATGCTTCTGACCCAGCCCAGTGCCGTGGATCCCCTCTCTGTCTGTCCATCCGCCCATCTGTCTCAACCCCGCCCTACCCCCTCCGTCTCCCCCGGGCTCACTGTTTTGAAGGTGATGCTGGTGATCTCCTGCAGGGAGTGTCGCAGGATCTCCAGCCACTCCTTCTCCCCCAGGGGGTCTTCCTGGGTGCCAATGACGTAGATGTCGTGGGGGATGTAGTCCGCCGAGTCGTCCCGCGTCTTCCCCTGCCCCTTGGAGAGAAACCAGGACGTGATCTTCTTGGGAGGGGGGGCGTTACCTTCAACAGCAAAACCCAACACCAAGTGAGTCAAAGGCACATCAGGTCAGCAGCGTCGGGGGATTCAACATGGGGTTTGTGTGTGTGTGTGTGGGGGGGTGATGAAGGAAGGGGCCTTCAGAGGGGAGGGCGCCCCCTGCCCTTTGCAAGAGGTCAGCCCTGCCATCTCTAACCAAAAGAGCTCTGCTGGCAAAGGGAGATGGAGAGCACCCTGTGCCTCAGAATGGATTCTTGAGGCCGGGTGTAGAAGGAATCTGGAGATCAGGTGACTGAAAGGGCCAGAAGAGGACACAGGACCCCCATGACACGGGCTGGGGCTCTACTCCAGTGCTGCAGTGACCCCTAAAACGTATGGTCACAGCATGGCAAGCTGGGGGCAGGAGGTGAATGAAGGCTGATGCCCCGGAGTCCCTGGGCCTCCCATCTCCTCCTGAAGCCTGGACCCTCAGCACTGCCCTTTCCTCTGTGTCCCCACCTTCCTCCAGCTGCCCCGTGACCACATGCTGGGCGGAAACAGGACAGCTTGACTCTGCCCAGGACAAAGGTAAATTGAATTTGAGCTCCACGAGCAAGTCTGTGTGTGTGCCAGTACTGGGGCTTGAACTCAGGGTCTGGATGCTGTCCCAGAGCTTTTTTGCTCAAGCTGGAACTCTAGCTGCTTAATTAGAGAAGAGTCCCATAGACTTTCCTGTCCAGGCTGGATTCAAACCTCTAATCCTAGATTTCAGCCTCCTGTGTAGTAGAATTACAGGCGCGAGGCACTGGCACCTAACCCATAGATAAGTCTTAGGTAAGTAGGCCTCATGCCTACTTAGATCTGCACCCAAGATTCAGATGAATGATATTTCTACCTTATTGTGTATTCCTAGTTGAATACTTACATGAAATTTTGTTTAGCATAACAAAATCAGTACAATATACGTATTTAGCATATTTACCTATACTAGTAATACTATACATACACACATATATGTATATATGTAGGTAATATGTATATATCCCACTGCATATTTCTAGTTAAGTGCTTAAAATTAGATATTTAATTATATATTTAGTATATAAACTATATTAGAATATAATATATATTTGGTATTATATGTAATTTGGAATCTATTTTATTTCTAGCTAAAGACTTACACTAAAAACTACCTTGTTTGGGCCAGGAAGGTGGCTTAGTGGTAGAGTGCTTGCCTAGCATGCATGAAGCCCTGGTTTCATTTCCTTGGTACCATAGAAACAGAAAAAGCTGGAAGTGGCTCTGTGGCTCAAGTGGCAGAGTGCTTGCTAGCCTTGAGCAAAGGAAGCTCAGGGACAGTGCCCGGGCCCTGAGTTCAAGCCTAGGACTGGTAAAAACAACAACTACCGGGTCGGTAGGAAATTCAATTATTTTTTCTTTTGGGGTCCAGTCGTGGGGCCTGATCTCTGGGCCTGGGCGCTGTCCCTCAGCTCTTCAGCTCAAGGCTAGCGCTCTACCACTTGAGCCACAGTGCCACTTCTGGCTTTTTTTCTTTTTGCTTCTGTGGTGCTGAGGAATTGAACCCAGGTGCCTCAGGCATGCAAGGCAAGTGCTCTACCACTGAGCCACCTTCCTAGCCCTGGAAATTCACTTTAATTTGTATCCTACATCCTATCTACCTGCCAACCTCAAACCCCCGTCCCCCAAGATAAGTCAGAGTACACATGACCCCATCACCTACATATTCAGATTCCTCCTCCCCCCAAAAAACCCTCTCAGTTTGGACATGCAAAAAGTAGCACCAGCTACTTTTAGGGTCCAGAGCCTGTTTTTTCTTCTCATCTCAGGAGCAGGGTGGCATTCCCTAGAAAGGAGGCTAAGCAGATGGTCTGGAGGCTGGCTGGGGCTGGAAGGGAAGGGGAAAGGAAGGGAGAGGAGAGGGGAGGGGAGGGACGGGTGGGAGGGGCGCAGGACCCACCCATGTTCCAGGTGCCGATGAAGATGGTGATCATGTCCGGCTCTGGCTGCTCCGAGTGCTTGTTCTTCATTTGCTGCAGGAGCTGGCAGAAACCTTCTCTCTTCTGGAGATGGAAGGACAGACAGGCTGAGGAAGGCTCTGCCGCCTGCCTGCCTATCACACACTGCCAAGGCCTCGCCAGCTTCAAAGCACTGAGGGGACTGGCAACCAGTGCAGACACCCAGGTGGGCAATTGGAGACATGGGCCTAAAGCCAGGAGGGGGGCCTCCCGACCCGCCATGCCATCGCAAGGGCGAGACTTGAAGAAAATCAGAAACTGCACCAACACCCACCCCTGGCAGCACACCTGCCAATCCAGAAAAGCTCAGATGCAATCTTCACATCTTACTCATGTCTTACTGTGGACCATCCATGAACTAGTGCCAAAGCATTTTTAAAATAAAACAGGAAATGGAGCTATAGCTCAAGTGGTAGAGTGTCAGCCTTGAGCAAAAAAGCTAAGAGACCAACATACCCAGGCACTAAATTCAAGCCCAACCTCCCCCAAAATCTAGTGAGTACGAGGCCCCAAGTTCTTTCGGGGGGAGTGCGTTGTGGGGCTTGAACTCAGGGTCTGGGTGCTGTCCCTAAGCTTTTGTGCTCCAGGCTAGTTCTCTACCACATTGAGGCACAGCTCCACTTCTAGTTTTCTGGTGGTTACTTAGAGATAGGAGTCTCACAGACTTTCCTGCCCAGGCTGGCTTTGAACCAGGATCATCTGACCTCAGCCTCCTGAGTTGCTAGGATTACAGGCATGAGCCATCAGTGCCCAACTGGAGTTCAATCTTTGCCACTACTACTACCAGAAAAAAGAAAAACAAAACAAAAAAAAGGTGGTTGACACTTACTTTAGAGTCAGCAAAGACATACTCCTTCCGTAAGGTCTTCTCCTTTTCTGTCTCCACCAAAATCACCAGCTTGTTCAGAAACTTCTGTGATTTGATGAGTTGTAGGACTAAAGGAAAACCATGTTTATGGATTTGTTTCCAAGTGGCAGGGTGAGTCCAGCCCCACCTCACCCAGCCTTGCCTTCTCCTAGGCTGAGCCTTGGTGGGCTTCTAGGATGTCCTCCGGGATCCGTGCTATGCATTTTCCAGATTGAATTAGAGGTGGGGTGGCCAGAGACAGTGATCATGACCTAGCTTCTCATCTTTCTCCCTCGGCTCCCTTCTTCCTTCTTCTGCTTAATTTACACTTAAATTTCAAAGTTTTACTTAATTATTAGTTTCACTGATTCTAAGAGTTATACTTTTACCACTTTTAAGTTTCATACATGTATATATTAATGAGCATTGATCATATTTACCCTCCATTATTCCCCCTTTTCTCCTTTCCCTGGGGTATCTTTCCTCTTTCCTAATAGTTTCTCTTCTATTTTCTCTGTGTGTGTGTGTTGGTGTTGGGCCTTGAACTTAGAACCTAGGCACTGTCCCTGGACTTTTTGGTAAGGCTAGTGCTCTACTACTTGAGCCACAGCTCTACTTCAGGGTTTTTTGGTGCTTAATTGGTTT